GCCACGGCACTCACTCTAGCCTGGGCAACAAAACGAGACTCTGTCTCAAAAAAACAAAACAAATTTAGCCGGGTGTGGTGGTGCACACCCAGCTTCTCAGGAGGCTGAGACAGGAGAATCACTACAGCCTAAGACTTTGAGGTTGCTGCAAACTATGATGATGCCACTGCATTCTAGCTGGGGCAACAGAGTGAGATCCTGTCTTAAACAAAACGAAACACAAAAACAAAACAAAACTGCTTATATATTTTCACTACTTGTATAAAAGGTTTTTGTTTAGTCTCATAAATATTTTTTTAATATTTGTTAATATTCACAATAATAGTGGCAATAAAAATGCTTTTTCACATTGGGCATAGTGGCTCACGCCTATAATCCCAGCACTTGGGGAGGTTGAGGCCAGGAGTTCATTACCAGCCTGGGTACCACAGGAAGTCTTCATCTCTATCAAAAATAAAAAAAAAAATTAGCCAGATGTAGTGGCGCATGCCTGTAGTCCCAGCTACTCAGGAGACTGAGGCAGGAGGATCGCTTGAGCCCAGAAGTTTGAGGTTTCTGTGAGCTAGGCTAATGCCACTCGGCCAACAGAGTGAGACTGTCTCAAAAAAAAAAAGACAAATGTCAGGGACATCTGCATATGAAGGCTAACTATTTATTTCCAGTTATCTCTGCTATTTATGAGCTCTAATTCAGGGACAGAAGCAACTAAATTCATCCCTGGTAGTCTGGTTGTTAGGAAAAAATAACAACAAACTAACTTCAGTGCATAGCATTAACCCCTATAATGTAAATACAAGAGTGCTGACTTTAACAGGCATATGAACACCAAGTAGAGGGTGGGAGTGGCTGAGGGATAAAAACTTATCTATCAGGTACAATGAATACTTTAGCTTTATACAAGGTATCTATATAATGAAAACATTTGTACCCACCTAATATTAATATTTTTAAATTAAATAAACAACAAGTAGATAAGTCTAATGATTTTCAATAAAGTCAGTAACTCCTTTTCAATTCTCAAAACCAACATGATTTTAGCCATTGAATTGATACAGTATGCCACAGTAAAACTTTTAGGTGAAACAAACAAAGCAATTGGGCACATTGTGGATTCTATTTAGTTGTATAAAAATTTACATATTTATTGTAACTTGATTTTCAAAATTATAATGTGGCAACCGTGAGAAAATGCCTTATCATTTTGTTACTCATTGTTAACACTATTCTTTTTCCTACTTATAATACTTAAGTAGGTGGCTCACACCTGTAATCCTAGCACTCTGGTAGGCCGAGGTGAGCGCATTGCTCGAGGTCAGGATTTCAAAACCAGCCTGAGCAAGAGCAAGACCCCGTCTCTACTATAAATAGAAGTATTTTTGGGTGTGGTGGTGCACACCCATAGCCCTAGCTCCTTGGGAATCTGAGGCAGGAGGGTCACTTGAGCCCCAGGAGTTTGAGGTTGCTGTGAACTAGGCTGACGCCACGGCACTCACTCTAGCCTGGGCAACAAAACGAGACTCTGTCTCAAAAAAACAAAACAAATTTAGCCGGGTGTGGTGGTGCACACCCAGCTTCTCAGGAGGCTGAGACAGGAGAATCACTACAGCCTAAGACTTTGAGGTTGCTGCAAACTATGATGATGCCACTGCATTCTAGCTGGGGCAACAGAGTGAGATCCTGTCTTAAACAAAACGAAACACAAAAACAAAACAAAACTGCTTATATATTTTCACTACTTGTATAAAAGGTTTTTGTTTAGTCTCATAAATATTTTTTTAATATTTGTTAATATTCACAATAATAGTGGCAATAAAAATGCTTTTTCACATTGGGCATAGTGGCTCACGCCTATAATCCCAGCACTTGGGGAGGTTGAGGCCAGGAGTTCATTACCAGCCTGGGTACCACAGGAAGTCTTCATCTCTATCAAAAATAAAAAAAAATCAGCAAGGTATGGTGGCCACGCCTGTAGTCTCAACTACTCAGGAAGCTGTGGCAAGATGATCGCTTGAGCCCAGGGGTTCACGGTAATACTGAGCTATGGCCACTGTACCCCAGCCTAGGCAACAGAGCAAGGTCCTGTCTTTGAAGAAAAAAAAAACTTTGGTGGAAAAGGATCAATACTTTAAAAAGAATAGTTCTAACATCATGTCCAGAAAAGCTGTAATTCCCCTTTTGCACCCACCTCCAAAAGGCATTTAACTTGATATAGCCATGATTTAAAAAAAAAATCTATACAACAAAAAAATGTGACAGAAGATAAGAGCAGCAGTTCTCAAATGCTAGTCATAGCCCAGCATAAGGTAATGAAATTCCTGGGAATTTTTTTTTTGAGAAATTTTTTAAAGCTATTTCCTCAGGCCTATCCATAACCAAAAGCCAGATTTTTCTGAAAAAATAGGATTCTAATACACAGAATTCAGATAATATTCATCTGTCTACTATAAGTCAAAACTTTAGTACCTAACTTTGTTCCTTGATTTACTTACCTTCTTGGTTGATAGCTGAATTAAATGAGGGCTGGGGTACAGCTCTCTGTGATGTTTTCGGGGGCATGAGAGTCCTTACTGAAGGTGGGCCTCCCGTTGGAGGGGGCCCAGAAAGAGCTCCTGGTTGAAAAGTGGTAGGCAGAGGTGCATTTGCTAAGGGAGGTACAGAAGAACCTAAGGAAACATTGGTTTTTCACATGTTACTTAAGAACTTAAGACAAATGCTAAAAACAGCCTTTTATAAAGCTGAATAACTTCCAAATTTACATTCTAATGTTTTTTTTAAGACAGAATCTTGCTCTTTTGCCCAGGCTAGCTCTCAGAGTGCTAGGATTACAGGAATAGGCCACCACACCCGGACTACATTTTAATTATAATCACCAACAAATTACCAAAGATACATTTACTTCTTAAAATTTATGATTTTTAAAATCTATATGCGCATTTTATAAATTTCCAACTCTCTCCCTCGCTTCTACCTGTCAATTATTAAAGCAGAGTAAATATAAAATTAGCATGAAATCACTTCTACAGTAGTTACAATGCCCTCTTCGTTAATTATTTTTCATTAACTGATCACAAAGATTCAATAGGCCATGTGAAATATCCAGTAGAAATTAACAATGAATAAAATGTTAATTTCAAGGCCGGGCGCGGTGGCTCACGCCTGTAATCCTAGCTCTCTGGGAGGCCGAGGCGGGCGGATTGCTCGAGGTCAGGAGTTCGAAACCAGCCTGAGCAAGAGCGAGACCCCGTCTCTACTATAAATAGAAAGAAATTAATTGGCCAACTAATATATAGAGAAAAAATTAGCCGGGCATGGTGGCGCATGCCTGTAGTCCCAGCTACCCGGGAGGCTGAGGCAGAAGGATCACTTGAGCCCAGGAGTTTGAGGTTGCTGTGAGCTAGGCTGACGCCACGGCACTCACTCTAGCCTGGGCAACAAAGGGAGACTCTGTCTCAAAAAAAAAAAAATGTTAATTTTATTTTATCAATTTTGTAATATTTTGTTAAGTATATTAATCTGCAATTAACACCAACTAAGTTTAGAGTAAAAATACAGAGTACTGTGGTTATTCTAAATTCTCCTAGGTTTATTTTGTTTTGTTTTATTGGGGTATAACCTGTTAAAAATGAGATTATAAATTCATACATTGTATAATGTTTACCTAGTAATGGTTAAAGCTAGTTCACCTTCTAGAGTAGCTTAAATTTTATATTAAGAATACGCCCTGGGCTTAAAAATCAGAAATTGATCCAAAGTTCATATATATAAACATTATAAAACACTCCTTTCTGACAGGCTTAAAAGTACCCATCAAAGTAAACTAAGAATAACATAGTATTTGTCTTTGTATCTACTAAGCATTTCACTGTCCTAATTTCACCATTTTTCTATTTGGACAGTAAGTTCTAACCAGTGTAAAAACATGATCAATTGCTCTTAGGAAATTCTTCCATGCAATATCAACGTTTCAAAGCCCCCAACCTCCCGTTCTTTCAAGTTAACAACATTATTTCTGCCTTCTCATTTGCCAAAGAGGAGGAACAATCTACAAAATATTAATAGATAAAACACTATAGAGGCATGGGCATGGTGGCATCCTAGCACTTTGGGAGGCCAAGGTGGCAGAACTGCTTGAGCTCAGGAGTTCGAGACAGGCCTGTGCAAGAGCGAGACACAAGACCTCATCTCTATTAAAAATAGAAAAATTAGCTGGGTATGGTGCATGTAACTGTAATCCTAGCTACTTGGGAGGCTGAGGCAAGAGAATCGCTTGAGCCCAGGAGTTTGAGGTTTCTGTGAGCTAGGCTGATGCCACAGCACTCTTGCCCAGGTGACAGAGTGAGACTTTGTCTCAAAAAAAAAAAAAAAAAAATCCAAAAAAACACCACTGATAAATGTGTGCTTTAATTTTTCTTTCTAAGACTTCTTTTAAACATCTGAGTTTATAGGTGAAATGGGTAATAAAGTTTACTTATAGCATACAGTTAATCCTGTCTTTTATAAAACTTAAGGAATAAATGTAGGAAATTTTCCAAAATGTTTCAATATTGTTATTTATTTATTTATTTTGAGTCAGAGTCTCATTGTGCTGCCAGGGCTAGAGTGCCATGGTGTCAGCCTAGCTCACAGCAACCTCAAACTCCCGGGCTCAAGCAATCCTTCTGCCTCAGCCTCCCGAGTAGCTGGGACTACAGGCATCCGCCACCATGCCCAGCTCATTTTTTCTATATATTTTTAGTTGGCCAATTAATTTTTCTATTTATAGTAGAGACGGGGTCTCGCTCTTGCTCATCAGGCTGGTCAATACTGTTATTAAATAAATTCTCCAGGGCCAGGCCGGGTGCGGTGGCTCACGCCTGTAATCCTAGCACTCTGGGAAGCTGAGGCGGGCGGATTGCTCGAGGTCGGGAGTTCAAAACCAGCCTGAGCGAGACCCCGTCTCTACTAAAAATAGAAAGAAATTAATTAACCAACTAAAAATATATATACAAAACATCAGCCAGGCATGGTGGCACATGCCTTAGTCCCAGCTACTTGGGAGGCTGAGGCAGCAGAATCCCTTGAGCCCAGGAGTTTGAGGTTGCTGTGAGCTAGGCTGATGCCACAGCACTCATTCTAGCCTGGGCAACAAAGTGGACTCTGTCTCAAAAAAAAAAAAAATTCTCCAGGGCCAAATTGAAAAATTATTAGTGAACTTTATAGCTCCCAACAAGACAAATCAGTGCCTTGTTGATAAAAGTAAAGACAAAGATTACTGCCATATAACTTCCTTATCAAGAGGCACTCACACACATCTATGGCAATACAGAGAAGTCAAAGGGACAAAGGGGCAAGGTACATCACCAACTCAGCATGAACAAGAATATGTAATACATCTGACCACAAATTTGTAACAAGCTAATGTTTAACAGAATACAAGTTTTGAGATTTTTTTCACAGTTTTTAGAAGAATATTTTTGAATCCAGATTATGATACATTTCATAAAACACATTGTTTTTTCAAGTTGAATAATTCTTATTTATAACATTCATAGTTAGAGTTTCAGAGCTTGCCTTCTCAGATCCCTAAGGCTAATTAATGTAAGGATGTTAAAAGGTAGCCTATTATCCAAGAAATGTCACCATCCCTAAAAAAAAAAAAAAAAAAAAGTAGCCTATTAGAAAAAATAATTCAAAAAATTTAATATGTGGACTAGAAATTTAGTATAACTTAGATACCCACAGTTTTGATATCAGAGTATCACGTACCTATTATGAATTATGGGTTGAAAAAACAAAAGTAAAAAACGAGGAATTTTCTTTTAGAGGTCTCTTATGAAGAGAAAGCCAGGCACAATGACGCATACCTATAATCCCAGCATTTGGGGAGGTCAGCAGTTAATAAACTACAAGCCCAATGGAGTATATGTCACATATACATACAGAAATGTATGAGTGAAGAAAAGGTAACTATTGATATTACTTCACTGAATCAATATACAGAGCCCAATACAGAATTTTAAATGCTTTTCAAAGAAACACTACTAATGTTGGTAGGTGTATAAGACCCTACTAATTTTATTAGCAAAAAAGGAAAAGTGAAATGGTTAAATGAATGTACTTCTGAACCAGATAGGACCAAACACTGAGATTAAAAAATAAAAAGATCAGCCAGGCATAGTGGCTCACTCTTCTAATCCCAGCACTTTGGAAGAGGGAGGCAGGAGGATTCACTTGAGTCCAGGAGTTCAAGTCAAGCCTAAGCAACATAGGGAGACCCTGTCTCAACAAAAAATTAAAAATTTAACTATGCATGGTGGCATTGGCCTATAGTCCCAGCTACTCAGGAGGCTAAAACAGGAGGATTGCTTGAGTTTGAGGTTATAGTGAGCTATGATTGGGCCACTGAACTCCAGGCTGGGCAACAGAATGAGACTCTGTCTCTAAAAAAAATTCAAAAATAAAAAGATCAAAGTCAGTCTAAGAATATAATGCATAGCTTTCTTCTCAAATTGATGTACAGATTGAACACAATCCCTATCAAAACCCTATCTATCTTTTTTTTGCCAAAATGACAAGCTGATCCTAAATATCATATGGAACTGCAAGAGAACCAGAAGAGCCAAAACAATCTTGAAAACAAAGTTAGAGGAGCCACACTTCCCTAATTGAAAGATTATTACAAAGCTACAGTAATCAAGATGTTTGGTACTGACATAAAAATAGACATACAGATCAATGAAATAAAATTCAGAGTCTAGAAGTAAACCCTTAATTTATGATCAAATGATTTTCAATAAGGGAGTCAAGACAATTCAATGGGAGAAAAACTAGTCTTTTCATCAAGTAATGGGATAACTGTATGTATAGCCACATGCAAAAGAATGACGTTGGACCCTACCTAATACGATATACAAAAATTAACTCAAAACTTATCAAAGACCTAAATGTAAGAGCTAAAATTATAAAACTCTTGGAAGAAAGCATCCACATAAACCTCTGTCCAGGGCCAAGCATGGTGACTCAAGCCTGTAATCCTAGCACTTTGGGAGGCTGAGCAGGGAGGATTGCTTAAAGCCAGGTGTTGGAGGTTGCAGTGAGCTGTGATTGTGCTACTGCACTGCAATCTGGGCAACAGAGCAAGACTCTGTCTAAAAAAGAAAAAAAAAAATCTCTGTTCACTGCATGGAGTTACTGAGTACAACTGACCAATCATTTATGCTGAACTCAACAATGTTCCTGGCCGGGTGCAGTGGCTCACGCCTGTAATCCTAGCACTCTGGGAGGCCGAGGCGGGCGGATTGCTCGAGGTCAGGAGTTCAAAACCAGCCTGAGCAAGAGCGAGACCCCGTCTCTACTATAAATAGAAAGAAATTAATTGGCCAACTAATATATACAGAAAAAAAAATTAGCTGGGCATGGCGGTGCATGCCTGTAGTCCCAGCTACTCAGGAGGCTGAGGCAGGAGGATTGCTTGAGCCCAGGAGTTTGAGGTTGCTGTGAGCTAGGCTGATGCCACAGCACTCACTCCAACCTGGCTGGGCAACAAAGCGAGACTCTGTCTCACACACACAAAAAAACAATGTTCCTCAGACCAAAAGCATCATGTTTTGACCTGCTCCTTCAAGATCCTACATTGGTTATGGCCCCAGAACAGCCATGGCAAAAAGGTAACTCAAACCTCATAAGACCAAAGAGAGACTACAGGGATTTATTCAACTTCTCTAGCTATATGATGGATCCCAGTTCATTAAAGCAATGGCTAGTCCCTATGGAATGGTTCTGCATGCATACCTGAATCCCTGTAATTATCATGGGTAACTCAAAGAAAAATAGAAGACACTTTCAAAGGAAAGAAGCAAGGCAGGACCAATTCATAAATTTAAGTTATCTGAATTCACTCAGAGGTTAGAAAAGTAATTTATATAGAGACTAATAATGATTTTAAAAGCCAGTAATTTTCCATATGGTTTTAAGGCTTCAAGTATTAATGCAAACATCTAAACAAGCAAAAGCTTCACATTTCTACATTTTATACACTCCTGTAAAAATACTACCTGACTTTAAGAAGCTGTTTTGAAGTGAAGGTTCTTCAGAAGAAACATACTGATGATTTGTTGTTAAACTTGTATTCCCAGATACAGGTGGTTGGGATGATGCACGAGGAAAGTGGTTTGTCTGTGATCCTGTGGATGGATAGTTATATTGCCAATTCGAAGGCGGTGGTAGGTTGGCTCCAGGAAGAAAACTACCAGAAGGCATTGGTGTAGCAGCTGGGTTCTGAGAAGCAGGTAGTGGCATTCGGGGAATAGGACCACTATGGAGCAAAGGTGTTACTGGATTAGAGGCCACAGGTGGTCTGTTAATAGTCTGCCCAGATCCCTGAGAACCACCATAGTTAGACTGTCCAGAGGCTGGATTCAAAGTCTTTGCTGGTATTAGATGAGGGTAGGATCCTGGAAGCTGGAAATTGTATCCTTGGCTCACTGACACTTGTGAAGACATCAGTGCATTTTGGACAGGACCTTCCAATAAGAGGAGGAAAAATTAGTCTTTCAAATGAATATAACAATACTTTAAAAAAAAATAAAGAAAAACATATGGTAGTCTTACATTCAGCAATAAAAAGATAAATAACCCAATTTAAAAATAACAGATTTGAATAGATATTCAAATATATTTCCAAAGAAGATATACAAATGGCTAATAAGCACAAGCAATTATTAGTCATTAGAGAAATATAAACATCATTAGTCATTAAAGAAACATAAATCAAAACCGCAATGAAATACCAATCACATCAACTAGGATATGTAAAATAAAACGCTACACAATAATGAGTATTGGCAAGAATGTGGAGAAACTGGAGCCATCCTATTGCTAGTGTCACACAAAGGACTAATTATCAATAAAATGAATATACTAGGTGTACATCTATCAGTAGAGATAAATTACAAAAAGAATGGCAAGACAAAAGGAAGTTACAAAGAGATAAACAGCTATTTTATAAATTTAAAATACCTTTAAATGAAAAATTTCAGATATGCACAAAAATAAGACCATTTCAAAGAGTCTCTCACAAAAAATACTGAAATGTTGATTGGAATTACATTTAATTTATATATTAATTTTGGATTAGTTGATATTTTTATGACAGAAAATCTTTCCATTCAAAAGCATAGTATATCTCCTACTTATTTAAATTTATTTTATATCTTCAAATAACATTTGATGCTTTTTTCAAAAGATGTCTTATACCTTATTTGTTAAATCTGTCACTAGGGATTTTGTAGCTTCTCCCTATTGTGAACAGAATATTTAATTTCATTTCTATTTCTAATTACAGAGTTAAAAGAAACGGTCATCAATTATTCAAAGTACCACAAATGCCCAATGAGAAGGTAAGATTCTCCCCAAAAATTATTTCTCAAGAAAGAGGAAGTCATCTTATATGAATCTCTACAAAGGTTCTCACTATACAAAAATGCTTTTTGTCCTACTGGGTTAACTCAATATTTTTCAAACCATGGGTAGCAACCCATCAATGTGTTATGAAATCAATTTGAGTTACAAACTATCATTTTTATTGACATGGAATAGTTAAAAACAGAAAATATCAGAGCACATTACATATAATAAGGGCAAATATTACTATGTGATTTCAGTTGTAAATATATACATAAATGACTATATGTACTGGGCCACTATTTAAAATACATTTCTTATTTTAGATTACAGTTAAAGTCTGATAGCCACCTGACTGATACTTATTTATTTATTTTTTTTGGAGACAGAGTCTTACTTTGTCACCCTGGATAGAGTACAGCATGGGCGTCGCTCACTGCAAACTCCTGGGCTCAAGCGATCCTACTGCCTCAGCCTTCCAAGTAGCTGGCACTACAGGTGCGTGCCACTACGCCCAGCTAATTTTTCTATTTTTAGTGGATGTGGTCTGGATCTTGCCCAGGCTGGTCTCAAACTCCTGGCCTTAAGCAATCCTCCCATCTTGGCCTCCCAGAGTGCTAGGTTTACATGTGTGAGCCACTGCATCTGGCCCTGATACTCTTGCAACTTGCCTTATGCCTCTATGATTTATTCCCCACATGCTGTTACCTTTTTTTTAATTTGATTTTTTTTTTTTTTAGAGACAAGGTCTCACTCTGTTGCCCAGGATGGAGTGCAGTCACATAATCACAGCTTACTGTAAACCTCAAACTCCCGGGTTCAAGCGATCCTCCTATCTCAGCCTCCTCAAGTGCTGGGATTACAGGTGTCAGCCACCATGCCTGGCCCCTATTACCTTTTCTTTTTTCTTTTTTTTGAGACAGAGTCTCACTTTGTTGCCCAGGCTAGAGTGAGTGCCATGGCGTCGGCCTAGCTCACAGCAACCTCAAACTCCTGGGCTCAAGCAATCCTCCTGCCTCAGCCTCTCAAGTAGCTGGGACTACAGGCATGCGCCACCATGCCCGGCTAATTTTTTTCTATATATATTAGTTGGCCAATTAATTTCTTTCTATTTATAGTAGAAACAGGGTCTCGCTCTTGCTCAGGCTGGTTTCGAACTCCTGACCTCGAGCAATCCGCCCGCCTCGGCCTCCCAGAGTGCTAGGATTACAGGCGTGAGCCACCGCGCCCGGCCTGTATTCTGATTCTTTGAATCTATTTGTTTCCTGCTTGCTCTTTAGGTAAACTTTACTATAAAGCTCAATTTTTCTACAGGGTTAGGTTTAATATAGAGTATGTCAACTCACACAAGAAAGGAGCCAATGTCTTGAACCATAGATTCATTAGATCTATCTTTGTTAGATGAATCAAACATGGTTCTTCACTCATTAGGTACCTCTGGTCCTATCTTGATTGTTCCATTTTCCTATTAGTTTGTAATATTTGTTCACCTGTATACACCAAGGTGTCTTTGTATCTGATAACTCTACCTCTGGAGAGATGGTTATGCATTCTGTACTTAAACCAACTTGGAGCAGACTGCAGTCCAAAAAACATAACCATTTTACAATTCTCCATTATAACATTTTACCATACAATATACCATGGTTTAATGAATAATTTCACTGAAGACTGAAAGCTACTTTTAAATATGTATGTATGAAGGAAATATGTGTATAAATTCTTGAGTTTAATAAAAACCTATGGTGGCTGGGTATGGTGGCTCATGCCTATAATCCTAGCACTTTGGGAAGCTGAGGCAGGAGGATCACTTGAGCTCAGAAGTTTGAGACCAACCTGAGCAAGAGTAAGACTCATCTCTAGTAAATATAGAAAAATTAGCTGGGCACAGTGGTGTACATCTGTAATCCCAGCTACTTGTGAGGCTGAGACAGGAGAATCGCTTGAGCCCAGAAGTTTGAGGTTGCTGCAAGCTAGGCTGAAGCCACAGCACTCTAGCCTGGGCAACGGAGTGAGACTCTGTCTCAAAAAAAAAAAAAAAAAAAAAAAAAAAGAGAAGCGGAATCTTTTCTTTGGGAAAATGGAGCATTGTCTTTCTTTAGGGTTATTTTATATTCAAACATATATAGTAATTTCATTCCAAAGGATGCTAAATACTTTTATTTTCAAGCAATCGTCTTAACTTGTTTGGGCACCAAAAAAAAAAAAAATTTGTCTCCCCCAGAAAGCCTGGCACTGTTCTAACTCAAATATTTGATTTGGTTCACATTCCTATTTGACTGTGTTAAAATAAATTAAAATGGAGACTAGACCTAAAGAATCCCTGAGTAGGCCGGGAGTGGTGGCTCACCCCTGTAATCCTAGCACTCTGGGAGGCCGAGGTGGGATCACTTGGCCCAGGAGTTTGAGCCCAGGAGTTTGAGGTTGCTATGAGCTAGACTGATGCCATGGCACTCTAGCCAAGGCAACAAAGTGAGACACTATCTCAAAAAAAAACACAAGAAAGAAAGAAAGAAGAAAGAATCCCTGAGTAGACAAAACCAGTTTAGCCTCTTAATTGACCTTAACTTTGTTCAATTTACAAACACATAAGTAGGCCTGGCACAGTGGCTCACGCCTGTAATCCTAGCACTCTGGGAGGCCAAGGCGGAAGGATTGCTTGAGGTCAGGAGTTTGAGACCAGCCTGAGCAAGAGCGAGACCCCATCTCTATTAAAAATAGAAAGAAATTAGCCAAACAACTAAAAATAGAAAAAATTAGCCGGGCATGGCAGCGCATGCCTTTAGTCCCAGGTACTCAGGAGGCTAAGGCAGAAGGATCACTTGAGCCCAGGAGTTTGAGGTTACTGTGAGTGAGGCAGATGCCACAGCACTCTAGCCCGGGCAACAGAACAAGACTCTATCTCAAAAAAACCAAACCTCAATGAACTCTTAAAATAGATGAACTTAATTATATACAAAATAGTCCTCAATAAAATTGATTTAAAAAAAAAAAAAAGAACAAATACATAAGTCAAACTTATCTCGGGCTATTTTTTGTAAATGCCTATATTAAAGAAAACCAAAACTTAAGCTCAACCAATGAGAAGCTGCCAACAAACTTAAAAAATCACTGGGATGAAAATGAACAATTAAATTCTCATTTAGTCCTGGCTACTGGCAAGTACACTGCCTTCACTGAGCAGGTTACTTTCTGGACCTGTCTATTAAAAATCAGGTTTTTGTTTTTATTTTTTCTTTACTGATCCCTTGTCTAAAGACCCTGAAGAAAGCAATATGTTTCCAACTGAAAAGTGTTTAAACTATTCAAATGGTGACCTTGGGCTTAGAATCATCTTAAAATAAGCAGATTTAAAAGTTGGCCAGAGGAAAAAGGCCACTATTTAATGGTGTATCACCAATGAGAACCCACCAATGAGAATGCTAAATCTGCTTAGAACCAAGGGAATGTCCTGGGTCCCATAAGGCTGACCTACTCTGAATATATGCTGAAAGCACCTAAACATTGTGACTCTTACCATATATATATATATATACACAGATTTTTGGAAGGTTTCACTTTCCCTAAATTTTATCTCCTCAATGTTTATATAACCCATTTATATTGCCAACTTGAGTCCTTCTGGAAATAAGACAGGGGATAAGGAAGGAGAGAAAAGCACAAACAAATCAGTTAACTCTGGCTGATCTCCAAAACATCGTATCAGAGGAATATATTATGGGAAATTAACTACTTATGATTTCTAGGAATGTGTGTATGATTTACCGAAATCATACATATAAATTACAGAATCTGCATATTCCAAGGCACCCTGAAGATTCTGAGATCCTGAGAAACTTCAGGCTTAGAGCAGCTAAGCAACTTGTCCCAAATCATACCACCAGTTAACTGTACTCCTCATCACATTCCATATTCTAACTCCATAGTACAATGTATATCCAATCTCTAGGATTTACTATAAAAAACTAATGTCATAAATCCTATGCCTATATAATCATCTTCCTAATAGTACAAGGTCATTATATATGAAATGTATATTGAAAGAAGCACTATAAAGTAGGATTAAGAGCACATCTTGTTGCAACACATTCTAGAAAAATATAAGAGCACAGACTGGAAT